AACCACCAGCTACCAAGAGCCCCCCTCCCTCCCTGCCAAGGGATGATTCCTTGGTGCAAAAGGATACCGGTTCACCAGCTGAAGAAGAGGTCCCTTCTGAGGGTACATTCCCCTTATCCACAGCATGGTGCCCAGTTTCCCCTCGACTCTCATGCTCCCTGACAGTGGCTGGGCTGCCGTATTCAGAGTGGGACTTATCTAACAAGTCCCCTGCTTCTCCGTGTGCCTAACTGACTGTCTCTGCTTCTCCAGGTCTGCCACCTTGGCCTCAAGGGAGCAAACTCATTCCCTGAGAACCAGGAGCTGTCCAGTGGGCAGATAGTCATACATGTGACACTCAGTGCAAAACACTGGATAGCCCCCAACTCCCTGCTGGCATTCTGGCTTCATAACTGCTTTTAAAATAATAATTATGTATAATCCACCTTTTAAAATCCTTTGTATTTATGTGGTGCCCTTGTAGAAGTCTACTTACCTTACTGGGAACCCAAGAAGACTAGGGCCCTGGCTTTCTAGCTCTTCCTGGGCTTCTTACAGAGCCCCTAGGCTAAGACCCACAAGCCAAGAGCCCTTTGGCTCTTACCCTTCGGCTTGTGCCAGAGGCACGAGTAGCAAGTGATACTAGCCTGCCTATTTAAACATTGTTTAGGAAATGTACTGCAAAAGGGATCTCTTGTCAAACCTGGAATGTAAATTGTGCTTGAGATTGTGAAGTTGCATTAGATCATCCCTATGCTAGCCAATAGGAGTGAAGTGGGAGGTGCAGCAGCTAAGCAGAGCCTCTGACCAGCAACACAGATCTAGAGTACTAGATTTAGAACTCTGTCTCAGAGTGGCTGATGGCAGTGGAATATCCAGTTTGTTTTGGGTAATCCAAGCAAGTAAGGAAGTGGGCAGCATTACTGAGCAGAGACTTGGGAAAGCTGTGGAGTTTTCCAGCCTCCCAGGGACTTTAAGGAATGGGGGCTTGCAAGTCTGTCACTTTAAACTGGCCATAAGATCAGCTCATAGTCATAGCTCAGAGTACTGTACTAAATGAGCACTTGTTCATCTTCCATCGAACAAGGTAGTGCTACCTCCGGTCCTGAACCTGCCCTTATTCCTAAAGTATTTACAATTGTTAAAGACTCATATTAGGCCCTCGCTTCTGATTCATTTATTCACACTTTAAAGCAACTCAAGAGTTTAGTCACAACCCAGCACTTCATGCTAGGAGAATACTTGTTGTTTCCTTTGATGAACCTTCTAATCATGGTAAGGATCTTCTGAAGTACAGATGTCTAAAGAAAAACATTAGGTAAAAGCCATGGGACATCACAGCATATTCCTTGAGAAAAGTGACAGCCTCAGCACTTTTTGGGATCATGTTCCTGTTGAAAAATGTATAGAGCAATCATATGGGTGTCCCATTCATAAGTTCACAAGACATTATAAACTTTTTTTTTCTGAAGAGAAGATCTTGTGCCTTCAGGAGGCAAGTTCTGCAGATGTTTTGGGAGATTTATTTTTAAAGAACACGGGGGGAAGCACATCTTTTTGGGTCTATAGGATGGAGCGGCTGTTGTATATATCCCAGTGGCCAGATAACTCAACTGCCACTAGTAATGGGATTTTTTTTTCCATTGTCTGATTTGAAGGCAGGGATCAGATGGAGATACTTAATATGTTTACCCCAGTTACTATTTTACCCAGGTACTTTGCAAGAGGTTATACATTGTTCTTGGTATGGGTAATTTGTCCTTTCTCTCAGATGACATTACAGTTAAAGGAGGCTTACTTCTTAAAAGGCAGGGGGAGACGGCACTACTACTAGGACATATAGGACATTTACAGACAAGTAAAAGTTCTTGTTCTCGAAACTTTTGGGCAGACCTTATCTGAACAATTATACATAAAAGTGTGTCTATTCCTTTCTGTTAAGTTAAAAAGACATAATTGTTTTTTCATGAACTGTTTGTTTACAGGAGAGTTTGATACTGTGCAGAGCCCCTCAACACCAATCAAAGATCTTGATGAAAGAACATGTAGAGGTTCTGGGTCAAAATCAAGGGGCAGAGGGCGGAAAAATAACCCATCACCTCCTCCTGATAGTGACTTGGAGGTATGGTCATTTAAAAACTAATAAATAGTTGGCTTCAGTTATAGCTCTAATGCTAAAATAATATATATTTTAGATTGTTTTTACATGTAAATGAAGTATTAAATGGTGGTACAAAATATTGTTGATTGGATGATTTTTTGCTAGGAGTATGCAATGTGTATGGAATAAGGGATGTCTTGCGTTACAATTCTATGCATATTTACTAGTAAGTAAATCCTAGTCATTTCAATAGTGCTTTTTCCTGTCACTTTAGGACTGCAGCTACAAAGTGTGTGCATCTTTTCTTTCTTCTTCTTTTGGCTTATATCTATATCATAATAGCGAAGTCGGTCAAATCTGAGGATATTTAAATCCAGTTATTAGAACTGTGAACAGGCAAGACAGATCTTTCTACAAACCTGAAAAACACCCCAAGTTTGCAGGAAAATGTGAAATTTTAAAAAACTCAAAATACATACATGGAGTGCCTGTAGCTTTAAGCACTGGATTCCTTCAGTGGCCATTGCTAGGAAACCACAGCATCCAGGCTGGGTTCTGTCAGTAAAAGGCAGGGGGAGAAAGCATTTTATAAAAGGAAAAAGAAAGAAAAAAGAATACAGTAAAAATAGTTATAAAGAAATAAAGAGGAAAAAACAACCAATTTTCTTCTGTTAAAGAAAAATGTACGTTTACATGTACCCTTACTCTAAGGTTACAATAGAAGAAATATATCTCCTTTCCCTGTAATCTTATATTTTTACCTCTTAATCTTCAAACCCACAAATCATCAAATCATTTTTTTCTGTTTCACACAAGAAGTCTATACGGGGTTTCCAGATAACAGTAAATCTAGAAAGTGTTTTTTCCCTAATCAAAAAAGTAAGTTTGGCCATTACTGCTAGCTCCATCATCTTCATCAACCATTCCTCCATTGTAGGTATTATCGAAGTTTTCCATTTTTGAGTATAAATCCTAGTCATTTCAATAGTGCTTTTTCCTGTCACTTTAGGACTGCAGCTACAAAGTGTGTGCATCTTTTCTTTCTTCTTCTTTTGGCTTATATCTATATCATAATAGCGAAGTCGGTCAAATCTGAGGATATTTAAATCCAGTTATTAGAACTGTGAACAGGCAAGACAGATCTTTCTACAAACCTGAAAAACACCCCAAGTTTGCAGGAAAATGTGAAATTTTAAAAAACTCAAAATACATACATGGAGTGCCTGTAGCTTTAAGCACTGGATTCCTTCAGTGGCCATTGCTAGGAAACCACAGCATCCAGGCTGGGTTCTGTCAGTAAAAGGCAGGGGGAGAAAGCATTTTATAAAAGTAAAAATAAATAAAAAATAATACAGTAAAAACAGTTATAAAGATATAAAGAGGAAAAAACAACCATTTTTCTTCTGTTACAGAAAAATGTACATTTACATGTACCCTTACTCTAAGGTAACAATAGAAGAAATATATCTCCTTTCCCTGTAATCTTATATTTTTACCTCTTAATCTTCAAACCCACAAATCATCAAATCATTTTTTTCTGTTTCACACAAGAAGTCTATAAGGGGTTTCCAGATAACAGTAAATCTAGAAAGTGTTTTTTCCCTAATCAAAAAAGTAAGTTTGGCCATTACTGCTAGCTCCATCATCTTCACCAACCATTCCTCCATTGTAGGTATTATCGAAGTTTTCCATTTTTGAGTATCTTGTGTGTGTCCTATCATTGTCATATACAAAAATAAAGTTCCATGAGTGCTTTCTAACTGTTTATCCATTAGACTCAGCAAAAAAAAAAAAGCTTCCAATTTCATTTGCATTGTTGTTGTTCAGTCGCACAGTCGAGTCCGACTCTTCGTAACCCCATGGACCACATCATGCCAGGCCCTCCTGTCTTCCATCGTCCTCCAGAGTTTGCTTAATTTCATGTTCATTGCATCAATAACACTGTCTAACCATCTCATCCTTTGCCTTCAATCTTTCCCAGCATCAGTGTCTTCTCCAGTGAGTGCTCCTTTCTCATTTGGTGGCCAAAGTATTTGAGCTTCAGCTTCAGTATATGACCTTCCAGGGAACAGTCAGGGTTGATTTCTTTTAGGATTGACTGATTTGATCTCCTTGCAGGCCAAGTGACTCTCAAGAGTCTTGTCCAGCACCATAATACAAAAGCATCTATTCTTCAGCGCTTGGCCTTCCTTATGGTCCAACTCTCACAGTCATACATTACTACTGGGAAAATACCATTGCTTTGACCATACAGACTTTTGTTGGCAGAGTGATGTCTCTACTTTTTATCATGCTGTCTAGGTTTGCCATCACTTTTCTCCCAAGGAGCAGGGGTCTTTTAATTTCATGGCTGCAGTCACCATCTACAGTGAGCTTGAATCCCAGGATCGTGAAGTCTGTCACTCCTTCCATTTATTTATCTATTTTATTTATTTTGGGATTTAAACCTATCCGGTAGCTCATGACTTATACCCCACCCTATCCGGAAGCTCATGACTTTCCCTTCTATTTGCAAAGGAGTGATGGGTCTGGATGCCATGATCTTAGGTTTTTTTTGATGTTGTTTGAAGCCAACTTTTGCACTCTCCTCTCTTTCACCCTTAGCAAAAGGCTCTGTAGGTCCTCTTCACTTTCTGCCATTAGAGTGGTACCGTCTGCATATCTCAGGTTGTTGATATTTTTCCCGGCAATCTTAATTCCAGTTTGTGATTCATCCAGGCTGGCATTTCGTATGATGTACTCTGCATATAAATTAAATAAGCAGGGTGACAATATACATCCTTGTCGTACTCCTTTTCCTATGCTAAACCAATCAGTTGTTCCATATCTGGTTCTAACTGTCGCTTCTTGACCCTTATACAGGTTTCTCAGGAGACATGTGAGGTGGTCTGGTACTCCCATCCCTTTTAGTTAGTTGTGATCCACACAATCAAAGGCTTGAAGCAGAAGTAGATGTTTTTCTGGTACTCCCTTGCTTTCTCCATAATCCAGCAAATGTTGGCAATTTGATCTCTAGTTCCTCTACCTCTTCGAAACCCAGCCTGTACTTCTGGCAGTTCATTTGCATATTAGTCTTTAAAATCTTTTTTTAATACTTTCTCATTAAAACCTTTTTTTTTAAAGTAAAGATAGGGGGAGGGGCCTCTTTCCATATGTCTTTTAGTCTTTGAGGGAGGATTCATTGGGTCCAGGCCTGGCCAAATCCAGGCTGGGAAATTTCTGGAGATTTTGTGGTGGAGTCTGAGAAGGGCAGGGTTTGGAGAGGGGAGAGGCCTCAGCAGGATATAATGTCATAGAGTCCAAATGGGCTCTTTTTGTAGCAGGAACTCCTTTGCATATTAGGCAACACACCCCTAATGTAGCCAATCCTCCAAGAGCTTACAGAGCTCTTCTTACATGGGCTGCTGTAAGCTCTTGGAGGATTGGCTACATTAGGGGTGTGTCGCCTAATATGCAAAGGAGTTCCTGCTACAAAAAGAGCCCTGGTTCTTCAAAGGAGCTGTTTTCTACAGGGAGATACGTTGTCTTGAAATGTTCTAATTATGGGGCATCTTCAGTCTGACCTGGAGGTTAGCAGCCCTAGACCTTTCAGTGACTTGATACTACCTGATGTGCATGACTCAACTAGGCCAGCTGCTTACTGCTGTTCAGTTCAATGCAGACCAGGGTCAGGGAGACCCAAGTTTGAATCCCTATCTTGCTCTGGAAGCTCACTGGGTGATTTTGGACCACTTACAAATTTTCATCCTAACCTACCTTACAGGGTTGTTGTGTGGATTAAAAGGAGGAGACAATAATGTAAACTGCTTTGGTCCCCATATTTCAAATGTCTATACAGAGTAATATACACCATTAAATAAGTATCTTGTAACATTTTGCTCCTAACGTTGAACAGCACTATCACTTTGCCCATTCTTTTGTGTTGAAATGGCAGTAGTAAGAAACTATTTTCCCACATTCTAACTGTTCTATACAGCATTATCATTATAGGAATGAGTTGCTCATGCATTCCGTGTGTTTCACCCTACATACTGCTTACAAAGAATTGTAGTACACTGTGGGAGAGATCCAGCCACTTATCCATATTTAACTGTTTTTGTATTTTTGTATTATTTTATAGTAAATAATTTTTAAAAGACAGTTTCATACTTACTGTACATTTTAAAATTTCACTGACAGCAGGTGCATGCACCCTTCATGGTTATATCACACTATTAGTGTCCAAGATAAATGATGTCTGTCTTTCCCCAATCCTTTGTTTTAAGCCCAAGTTTCCAAGCACTGCCTTTCTAGACTACTAATGTTATGTTCATCCCTTCTCTAATATTCTACTGCTGAACTGATCATTTTTGTATAACATAGAGTTTCTCTAATTGTTGTTCTAACCAGTCTACATTTTAGCCCAATGCTGTCTTTCCCTGTAGAGATGAATACCTTTGCTAGAATGAACAGTTCAAGGGGGGTTTTCTTAGATAACACATCAACTAGATGAATTCTGCCCTTAGAGGCTCAGTGGTTTCTTGCAATTAATACCCTGCATTTCGCTAGCAAATCAATTTTGACAGTAATTTACTTTCTGCTTTTATGTCTATTGATTTTTGTCAATACTTCCATTTTCAGCGTGTATTCGTTTGGGATTTGGATGAAACAATCATTGTTTTCCATTCACTTCTTACAGGATCTTATGCTCAAAAATATGGGAAGGTAGGTAGCACATTAATGTAAACACTAATGTTTCAAAGTTTTTATAATTTACTTTTAATTGTAGTTTATTCTTTATGCTAAATGGCCATCTGACAGCAATGGGGATTCTGTGAGCTTAGGCAGATCATGAGATGGAAGGCAGGAAGGGTTGCCTCAGTGCTTAGTTCTTGTCACCCTTTCTTACACGCCCAGGGAACTGCTGATTGACACTTTGGGGTCAGGAAGCAATTTTTCTCCTGACCAGTCTGGCCAGGGATCCTATAGGCTTTTTGTCATCTTCTGGGTGTGGAACAGCGGTCACTGCAGGTGTGGAGGGGGAGGTGTTTGTGAATTTCCCGCATTGTGTGGGGGTTGGACTAGATGACCCTGGAGGTACCTTCCAACTCTATGATTCTATGAAAATAGCTAATTTACTCATAAGCCATAGTCTCCATAACTATCATATTGCAACAGCCCTACAGAACTGAGTGATGTTACTCATATTAAATTAATACTTTGAAATACTTCATACTCTTTTGTAGGTGTTTTGCATGCTTTATTAGGGCATTTTTTCTCTATGCTCTTCATGTACTTCTGGCTAGTTGGTCTAGACAGTGAAGATATTTAATAGAGTCTTGAATAGAATTAGGATAGTTGTTAAAGTGTCTGGCAGGGAACAAAGCCAAGGTGATCTCAGAGCTGATCTTAAGCTGATGCTATGATGCTGGAACCATGTGGTTTCCTAAAAAACACTGAATCACACTGGCCAAAAGACTCTACGGTAGGGGTGTCGAACTCATTTGTTATGAGGGCCAGATCTGATATAAATTTGACTTTGTTGCAATGGACCATGCATGTCATAAAATGTAACACCAGGTAGCAGCGATATAAACTTTATTAAGGACACACACAAGCACAATTAAAGATATTATAGCAGCTATTCCATTGGAGCCCCACATTAAGAGGAGGTGTGTGTTAAAACTGATATTTCTCTGCAAAACTGAAGTTCCTTGAGTTGTTGAGCTCTGTATTTTAACTGTGGTTAGTCCCAACCCCCTCCCCAAAATATAAACTACAAATATAAATGGTCTGCGCCTAGAACTCAGGGGAAGAATATGGAATGGCTGAGCATTGCAAGCTTCCCCCCCACACACACACACACACTCCGGGTCATAATAACATAAGAGACGCCAATGTTGGATCAGGCCAAAGGCCCATCTTGTCCAACACTCTGTCACACAGTGGCCATAAATACCAGGTGTTATCAAGAGGTCCACCAGTGGGGCCAGGACATTAGAAGCCCCAAGCACCAAGAAGACAGAGCATCACTTGCCCCAGAGTCCCTATCTATACCTTGTGGCTAATAGCCACTGATGGACCTCTGCTCCATATGCTTTAATTCCCTTTTGAAGCCCTCCATGCTTGTAGCTGCCACCACTTCCTGTGGCAGTGAATTCCATGTGTTAAACACTCTTTGGGTGAAGAAGTACTTCCTTTTATCCGTTCTAACCCGAATGCTCAGCAATTTCATTGAGTGCCCACAAGTTCTTGTATTGTGAGAAAGGGAGAAAAGTACCTCTTTCTCTATCTGCTCTATCCCATGCATAATCTTATAAACTTCAGTCATGTCACCCCTCAGTCGTCGTCTCTACAAGCTAAAGAGCCCTAAGCGCTTTAACCTTTCCTTATAGGGAAAGTGTTCCAACCCTTTTATCATTCGAGTTGCCCTTTTCTGCACTTTTTCCAAAGCTATAATATCCTTTTTAAGGTGTGGTGACCAGAACTGCACACAGTATTCCAAATGAGGTCACACCATTGATTTATACAGGGACATTATGATATTGGCTGATCTGTTTTCAATACCCTTCCTAATAATCCCCAGCATAGCATTGGCCTTTTTTATTGCAGTCACACACTGTCTCGACATTTCCAGTGAGTTATCTACTACAACTCCAAGATCTCTCTTTTGATCAGTCTCTGCCAGTTCAGACCCCATCAATGTGTATCACCTTGCACTTGGCCACATTGAACCCCATTTGCCATGTTGACGCCCACTTGCCCATCCTTGACAGATCCCTTTGGAGTGTCTACTCAGGTCTACTCAGAGTGGCAGTGGCACTCCAGCGTCTCAGGGTTGTTGTTGTTTATTTACTGGTTTGAGATAATAACTTTGGGTGTCCTCTTCAGCATTTGTTCTGCTATTTTTCCTTTGGAGTTCCACATTAGGAGGGTGTGTGTGTGTTAAAACTAATATTTCTCTGCAAAACTGGAGTTTCTTGAGTTTGCAGAACTCTATATTTTAACCGTGGCTGGTCCCAAACCTCCCCCCCCCCGTTAGAAATATAAACGACAAATATAAATGGTACAAAGTTAGAGTCCAATGGCACCTTTAAGACCAACAAAGTTTTATTCAAGTGTGAGCTTTCGTGTGCATGCACACTTTGTCAGACGATGAAATGGACCATTTGTGCACAATCCACAATGAGAAAAGATGCAGTACAGTGCTGTAAATCTAGATCCTTTTATTGACAGAAGTGTCTATTTTTCAAATACACCGCTGGGTTCAACATTATTAATTTTTTACAGTCTAGATACTCCTTGGAGCTTCTTTTTTCTTGTTTTCATTTTTACAGCCTTTACATCATTTATTTACTTATTTACTGTCCTGGAGACATGTGGGTTCAAGGCCATGAATTTTGTAGGTAATAATCCGCACCTTGAATTAAACCTGGAAACTAATCACTGACCAATGGAGCAACTGCAGTATTGGTAAAGTATGCATGCTCCACCTAGTTCCTGATAACAATAGAGCTGTGGCATTCTGCCCCAGCTGAAATTTCTCAGCTGTCTTCCAGGCCAGCCCCATGTAGAGTCTGTAACTTTACTCTCAGGATTTCTGTGGCATGGATCCACATGGCCAGATTGGCTGGGCCAGGTAGTGAGCCGTCCTTATTAAATGAGGGTACAATAAAGCATTTTTGCAAGTGGATTAACTTGTTTCTTCAGCAGTAACAATAATATTTTAGTAATAATATGTTTTCCTATATTGGTCATTTAAGTTGATGTGTAGCCATTGAAGGTGCTTGGGATTACTCTGCCTTAGCATTCTCCTTACAATTGATGTCTCAGAGCTGTATTTGACCTCCCATAGCATAATGAGACTCTAAAGGCAATATTTGATTTTTGCTTTTCCATTTACAGTGGAAACTTTTTCTGGGAGACATTGCTTTTATGATATTAACCACTATGTAGCTGGCACCATACAAAAAGAGGCACAGGAGCTATGTTTATAATAATTTCTTAAGGATTTTTCCTTATAGTGCCATCTCCATTTGTTCATTTTGGCAAATGGGGATGTTTTTGACATGATTCCTTTAATCAGTGTGGCTCATCTATACTTTAAGTGTTAGTTCTCCTGAGATATTTTTACATTGTCCCCTAAGAGGCATACTCGTAGATGGCCCAATCTAGCACAGAAGTCCACAGACAGACAGTCTGGCTCCAATTTATGCCCACTGCTAACATAACCAAAGGCATTTGTATTTTGATATAGGGAAGTGTTACAGTTGATCTAGTCTGCCTTGCAATGCTGGCAATCTCTGGCTAAAGGCCATGTTCCCAAGAGCCCAGTGAGCTAACAGTGTTTTGGGTTGTTGTTTTTTTAATCGGCAATACATCAGGATGAGGGGAGACTTTGGGGGGCAGAGGGTATGAATGCAGAACCATTCCTGTCTGCTTCAAATTTAACTTCCCTTGCAGTCATTTGACAACTGAATGAATCTGCAGTTTTTGTTTCTTTGCCTCTTCCTTACTTGCTTTCATGTTTTATTCTTTTAAAACTGAGGATAAGTTCACATGTTGCATTTAATATATTGGTTCTATTTGTCAGTCACACACCAGGCAATCACCTACTATAAAAGGAAGGAAATCTGTAATGGATTTACTACAGGAAGGAACTGGGACATCTCAAATCTCAAAATAAAAGACTCTGATTTCATACCAAAACAGTATTTAAATTTTCACAAGCAATAAAATACTGGTTGAGCTTGCATAAATCAATATCTCAAGTGTTGAAACGACAAGATTTAACACAACGGGCAGAGAAATCCTCTACTGCGCATGTGCCATGACAGCTGGCTGTGGCATAACTAAGGCATTCCTAGTCCATTCCCTATAGGGATAGATTATATGGTAGCCGGCAAGAAAATGGTGGAGGGAGGTTGTGTCTGTTGCTGCTACTATGGTAGTATCCCCAGCTACTGTGTCACAGCATTCCATGGTGGTATTGTGATGGGGCATTGATGGACAGGTAGCCAGAACCAATCAGGGGTCACCAGGTACAGGGGCTGAGCCATATACCTGTCACAGCCCTGGGGTTGAGGGGGTGGGGCAAAGGAGCCTGCCAGCAGGTCACCCCCTTAAAGGGACCAAACCCTCTCACAAGTCCACGGAACCTGACCATGGTGCAGGGGCCCCAGCAGGCCCACCCCCACTGACATCCCAAACTGGCCCCCTGCCCTGGTGTAGCAAAGGGTGGCCAAAGCCCAGAAGGGGAAAGGGGTGTGTCGGAAGTATGTGCATTAGTAGGTGCCCTCCACTTCTCAGCAGCCACGCCATCCAACAGTTCACCCATGTTGCCTAAGGTGCCTCCGTGCAATCTCAGCTGGCAGTAGAGCAGGAAGGGGGCAATGGGGTGGGGCACTGAGGAGGGGCCAAAGTACATCCAACACATCTCCCAGCAGTCTCAGTGCACACCTGTCCCTCCCTCATGTTTCTTGTGACAGCAAGCAGCCTCTCCAAGTGCCTTTGGCTGCCAAAGATATCTGGATAAACCCCCATTATCGCCCCGCCATGGATCACCTACTGACCTTGGCCAGAGGCAGCTGCTGCTACATGGGTGTCTCCAGGTTATTGGGCATTACTTGGCCTGGGTCCCACCATTCATGTGGTCTTGCACCTGGTCCACCCCCCCCCCCGCTTCCATAGGTTCAGCTTGCTTTTCCAGTCACCTTCCATAGTGA